CATTCATACCGACTGAAGCCAGGTTTCTCAAGGTTTCCATCATCACGTGTCTGTAGAGTTTCCTCTGAGCAGGATCCAGCAAATCCCACTCTTCATGGGTGAAGACCACAGCCACATCTTCAATTATCACTGTACCCTAAAACATTCCACACAGTCTGGGTCAGCAATGCACCACTTACACCAACATGACTAATAATAAAAGGTGAGGCTGCCATATCTGGGACCTTAGAATCCACAGGTACATAACACCAGGTTCTGTGCTCTCGTGAGATCTGCTCAAAGAACACCAACTGGCTTCCTCCCTTCATGATGACATTCACTAAATCTGTCTTGTCACAAAAACTCTGCGCACCCTGAAATAGACTCTCCAAAATTTTACTGTGAACGACAGCAGTCTATCCCTCTCTGTGTATGGTCTACAACAATAGTAAAATACACCAGAAATGAGAGAGATGATTAGATCACATTCCTGTTGTGAATAAGCCATTCTATCTCCTTCCATAGACCAACCGGACCCTCCACAATCAGGAAGCACTAGGTGGGTCAGGGGAGGCTCCAACAACTCCGAGACAGTGCAGAAAGGCAGTCCTTCAGCACAGAGCTGACCCCACAAGGACTCACGTCCAGATTTCCCCACTGAAGAGAACGGACACTCCAGTTATCTACAATCCCAAACCCATCACGTTCCAGTGAATTCGGACTCATAACAACCTCATATTTCCAAGTGCAACCGAGTCGGTCCCACCCATATCGATCCTCCATCAGGTTTCCTAGGAGCGGCTGGTGGGCTTGAACCGCCGACCCTGAGGACTGCGGTGCAGCGCTGATCCCAGAACGCCCATGGACTCACCATTCCAGCGCTTCACCTTCGGGAAGTCTAAGAGCAAGTCCCCGACAGGACCTGGAGCTCCGAGGATTCAGGCCGAGGGACGGGAGTGGACGCGGAGCTCGGGGAACAGATGCACAACGGCCACCCGCGCTCCCAGCTCCACGTGTGAGACCGGAAATGGAAGGGAGGTGGGCGGAGTTCATGGGCGCGTCCCAGGGGAAGGCCTAAATCACAAACAGGAAAACCAAAACCTGAGCCGGAAATATAAGGGAGGACGGTAATCTGGTAATGGGGATTCCACCCTCACCGACCCGGGTCCCCTGACTCTAGGAAATGAGAAGAGCACTTTGCTCCGTAAAGACGCACAGCCCGTGACCCGGGGACGCACAGCACGTCTAAAGACATCCGCATCCCTCCTACCTCCGACATTTAGTCTACGGGAGGGCGAAGAAAAGACTGCGGGCGGGAGAGAGGGAGCAGCGCACTCGGACCTTAATATGAGACTGCGGGGCACCTGCGGGTGGTGGGGTGGAACTAGCCAACAGGAGACAGAGTGGACACCTACCTGTCCCTGTGGCAGAAGGAAGCCCATTGAGAACTCAAACTTCCGCCTGCGGTATTTATGCTGGTTTGGTGCATTAGAGAAATGGTTCCGTGGGGAAACATAGTGGAATCTCGCTGATTGTTATCATGGTGTTCAATGGATTCTCTGGCATTTGGAATCTGGTTAAGATTCTTGTTCCCTCTATGGAGAAAAGCATAGGGTTTCTTCAACGAGACTATGAAGGGAAATGCGGATTTCAGTTATCCAATATATCCTTGTGGGGCAAAGAAAGTTCCAAAGTTCAGATTTGACCCTTTGAAACAGTTTTACTGTTTTTTGGCAGACAGAGTTTGTTAGCTCTTCATAAGTATTTCCTCTGTTGAATTATTATTTACGTCTCTCGTTAGGCTTCTGTTTCAGGGATTGTCATCGCTTGCATATCACCTGTGTTTCCCCAATGGCATGATTCACACTAATAGGGACAGCCTAGGGGTAAGGGGCAGGGAGCTGAACCTGAGACCATGATAGAAAAAATACCATCAGCTGTGAGAACAACAAGGAACCCCAAACAACAGCGAGTCAGATATTCTGTCAAAATAGCACGAGGTACAGACAACCACAAAGAAAACAGAAGGCACATCACCCCATTACCGAGAAGTCTGTGTCCTCTTACTAACAATAAAATAAGCATTCCTCCACTTTATAATAAGACAATCAGAGAGGGGAAGCCTCAGACCTGCCCCTGGGGGAGGACATCTGGGGCGAGGAATAGAAAACTGTACTTAATCCATCATCCATAATCCCCAGGGTCTTTTCCACATACATAGACAGACTCAATTCTGTCTTTGAAGTGTGCTTTTGCTGTGCAAAAATAGTTTCTGACTGAATGCTTGTCTTCTGCATGCAATTGAGAGGCACCGATTCAGTTGAAGCTGATTCTTCAGACTCCTGACAGATGGGGGGGAAGGAGAACCTAATCTGATCTCTATAAATGGTGAAGACACTCAGAGAATTTTCCTGGGTGAGAGGTAGGAAGATGCCAGCTGTTCTGAAGGCCAATAGGGAATAGCAGAAGTACCCTTGAAAACGGTAGTTACAGATTTTTATTTTTATATATGCCTTTCTCATACTATGCAGTGATCTTCAGGGTACAACATGATCAGTATCAACCTTGATACACAGTCATAGAATCTACTCTGTCCATAGAGTATCATCACTGACTGAAAAATAATCCAGGAAGACATAGTTGGGAAATGTGAAAGGAAAGATTTAGCAGGGACACTTGGAGAACATATATGTATGATTACATACATGATTGATTAAGGTGCATCTTTTCAAACACTTACTCTTCCGTGTGTTTCACGAAGTCACAGGAAAATGGCAAGACAGTTATTGGGGGGGGGGGTGCTGGAAGCATTGGCAGTGAGGACCTCACTGGACCAGAAACTCAGCACTCAGCTGTCCCCCATCAGTGCTGAGAGTGTACACATGAGCCGCTACACTCACTAGAAGCAAAATGACACCAGAACCACCCACATCCAGCAACGTTCACAAGAACAGCTGCTCACACAAACGTGGATGAAACTCAAAAGCATCCCAAGGAAAGTCTCTTTAGAACCAAGACAGAGAATACTTCAATTGATAGAAAGCACAAAAGAGGCAAAACTAAATAAGATAGAATTCATGTATTAAAACGTGAAGGATTAACCATAATAATACCACGTCAGTGATTTGGACTCACCAGCTGCTCTTCAGAAACCCTACAGAGGTTCGCTGTGAGTCAGAACCCACTAGAAGGCATTTAACAACAACAGCATGTGGCGCTGTGAGGTCAACACTGGATTGCTAACCACAAGGTGGATAGTTCAAACCCACCAGCCGCTCCTTGGAAACCCTACACAGGGTGGCTGTGAGAACCAACTCCATGGCTTTGAACCACAAATATCAAATACAGATAGTGCTGATCCTCAGGTTGGAGAAGATATCATGGTGGGACACCCTGAAATGCCATGAAAACTGACCCAGATCTAGTTATTGGCAAATCCAACTAGAGCTAAATTGAACAAGTAATGTCCTTTTCATGTGTCAATTGTACAAAGTCATGTGAAAACCCCTTCATTTTGGTTTTACTTTAGCTTACTTCACAAGGACTTTGATATCTACTCAAACACCTAGATCTTAGGAAGTTCCATTTATTTTAACTGAAACAAGTATTTAAATGCAAAGTAATGAATGACCCATTCACGGAGACACAGTTAAAAATAACAATAAAACTGGAGAACAAACAAGATGGCGGATCGGGTGGACATATAGCAGAGAGCTCCGCCAACAACAACACAGAATACCCGACCAAGCAGGCTCAGGGGCTGGTCCCAGAACTCTGAACCACATATAAAGGAATACTTAGAAGGTTGGAAGGCTCACAGCTGGGGGAGTTTGTGGCAGAAG